GGCCAACGAAAGGCGCACGTTCTGCACTATGCGAAGCGCAAGTTCGTCTGCTTTTTGCACAAGGGTGGCGTTCATGTCAAAACGCCGAGCTTCTATTGGCTAATCTAAAGAAATAGTGGGTACACCTCGGGGCATCTAGCCTAGAGGTATACTCGCTCTCCTTTCAGTCAAAGCCAATCAGAGCTCGGCGTCGCTCTTACGTCACAGAAACCCCTGAGCAAGAAGCAGACGACTTGCTTTACGGATACGCTGCGTTCGCTGAACTCAACGTCGGAGCATAACAGAGCCTCGAAGACAGCGCTGCGAGAGGGACAACTGAAGCTCTTTCCTGCCGTCCTCACCTCGTCGGTGGCCACAGAGGAGACAGAAACACAAACGGGCAGACCGGGAACACCAAGTCACGGCATATGACTGTTTCTGAATGGTATTTGCGGGTGATGACATACGACCGAAAGGTGACAAGCACCGTGACGTCGCGCTTATGATGCCGAATGACTGGGCCCATCAGACTCTTGCGTCGCTTGCCTAGTCAGTGACAGTTTGAGAAACGTAGGGTGTGGAAAGTGCCAAGCATTTTGTCATTGCTGCTCAGACCGTGAGGTTCTGCCATCAGCCGATACGAACGCAGAACAAAAGCAAAACGTGTGAACATAATAGGGCCACGTGACTCATGGGCTGTGACAGCGCCAAGATGTTTCGGTGGCGCCCTGTTACGGCCTCCGTTCGAGACGTCAAGAGCAGGATGTGTCTCGCCGTGATTGGTAGGATTTTCCTAAGCGTGAACCGTCGATAGGGCATGTATCATTGATATAAAGAAAGGTGTGGTATGGCCAACTGCAAATGCCGGCCACAGCGACGGTTTTGGTCACACAAGCCGCTAATAGAAGAACAAGGCGTCTATATGTTGCCCCCAAACCTTGTGAAGCGTCCAAAGTGACAACGCATCAACGCTGACTGACAGTGTCTCGAACGCGTCTCCGACTGGTTTGTTTCCCGCGTTCTCTGTTGCGGTCCCTTGAGTCGCACCTCATGACGTCACATTTCTAGCATGATTTGGTCTGCCGCGATCTTGCCAGTGACACAGCAGTAAAAAATAGATATATGGCAGGCGTTCGTTCCGCCGTAGGGCCCTCTTCAGCTTTAGAGTTCACGGAAACTTCAGAAGCCACGAGTTAAGACGCCGCGGTGACAGCGTACACCTGCTTTCGCTCGTACTCTTTTGCCGGAAAATCTACAACCAACCACCAGGATTCCGAGATCTGACAGCATGGCACGGTAGCTCCTGCGACTGAACTTTTGTGTCTTTCGGTACAACTTTCCTACTTTCAATGCGTTAAGGTATGGGGCTCTAAACGCACCAGTCAAAGACGCGACAAGGTAGTCGTGCGGCTGGATATTCTACGTCATGTACCGGAGGCCAGTGAGGAACACAGTTTGGAGGTGAGCACCGCGTCAACATTCAGCTGGCACTCGTGTTCTCATTGACCGAACACGGCCCCAGCTGAACGCTGAGGCAGAATTCGGCTCGAATCTGTGTTCTGCCCCTTTCCTTCGTTGGGTGACGTAGAATCTCCAGGACTTCGGGCTGTTTCCTAAGAGGTGCTTACCGGACGCAGCTGCCAAAAGCTTCGACATATAAACGTGGATGCCGAGATCCAGAAAGAGAGGACGGTGCACTGCCACGCGTCATTTATCTATTGTCGCAACCAGTAACTACTTTATATTATAGATATTATTTCTCCCTAAACGCCATGATAATTCTTAAAGATATGTAAAGAGATTGAAGATACATTAAACAAAAGTTTGAAAATAAGACGGGTAGGAAGGAAAGTTTGTAAATTGCAATAACATTAAAGCACCGAAGCACATCACCAATGAGGTACAAATCTACCACACTATCGAGTAAATTTTATTTTGAAAAACAAAAACAAACTACACGCGCCCAATACGTTTTATAATTCTGGCGAAATAAAAGCGAATTTCTATTGTGAAAAGCGGAATGGCGCAGTGTGTCGAAAACTGGTGCAGTTCTCGTCACCCTGCGCCTTGATGGAGGAAGCCTCAAAACTATCTCATTCTGTTCTGCCTTTTATATCGAATGAGCAGTTTCGTTCGATCTCATTCAGTTACAAAATGGCTCGTATCCCAGTGAATGGCTCAATGGCCGCATTGGGACCACTCGTTGATAGTGCGTGCTCACGCGCGCCGTCATTCATACATCGTACCCATTTGTGCAATATGTATAGGCGCCCCTTCACAATGTTGTTGGTACTTGGCAACTGCAGACGTGGCACATCGTACGTATTTGTAGGATATGCCATGTTTTCTCGTTAGACGCGTCACCCTTGTTCGTTTCGCTATTTGTTCGCGGTAAGATGTCAGAGTCACTGGTAACAAAGAAACGCAAGGCGTCTAACGTCCCGAGCACCTTACTGGCGCATCGCAGTCAATGGTATTGAGGCATTAGCCGATGAGAATACCGAAGGACGTATCACGAAAACGACTGGAACGTCAATAGTATGAGTAAAAACGTTTTCAGTTTGCGAGTGCAAGTGATGCGCGTCAACTTCCCGTTTTTTTCTTGCGAGAGAAAACTGCGCCTTCGTTGGATCTTTCCCTTTCTGGGTTCAACGCGAGGCCGTCGGCAACCTCTACGAGAAAGCCGCTTTCCATAAGCCGCAGTCGCACTGGTCTTGCGTACATCATGAACAAAAGACACAATGTTCGCTGCAGAAAACATGACAGGAATGTACGCTGACACACCGCGAGCCTCTTTGAAGCGTGTCTTTATGCATACAATCGTATGTATATGCTTCCAAGATGTCTGCAGGCAGCTTTTTGCAAGACCAGCGTGACAGCCCAAGCAGCACATAGTTGGCCAATCATTGGCCAATGGCTGGAAATGGTCTTTTGGCCAGTGGCCAGACAGTCTCAGAAACTGGCCGATGACTGACCTTTCTTTGGCCATTGCCCAATGGCCAGTGGCCATCAGCCATCGCCCAAGTATTGACCAATGAATGGTAACTCTTTGGCCACTGGCCAAAAGACCATCACCAGCCATTGGCCATTGCTTGGCCAAAATCCGTGCTGCTTGGGAGGATGGTGGTACGAGGCAGAGACACGGCCCAGGCACTGTCTGCAGGCTGTCTTTCGTATAATGTGCTAGCAGTGCGACCACGGCATTTAGCTGCTCATTAGCTTTAATAAAGCTGGAGTCGGCAATATGATGGCACGATTCATCAAACTCGGCCTCTATCGAGGACGAGGCTAATTTTTTTTTTTTTTTACACATTTGGCGTGCGTCACTTCTTCTAATCTTGCGAACCAAGTTTGCATCAAATGTGTGATGGATGTCTCGGCAAGCAACGTTCTTTATAATGAAGGCATGAACACAGGGAAACTTCGGCTCCTGGATTAAACTTCAAATTTTGTGAAGAGATCATTGCGCTCAACTACGAAGTAAGGGCTAAGAAAGGGGACTGCAAAAGTAGCTCAATGTTTCGGTCTGCATTTTTGCTTTAAAACAGCGTTAGTTGTCCTGGCCGAGTGAGACTAGGCCCTAACCAGAAAAGAAGAGCGTTCAATTCTAATTTTTTTCAGCAAAATTGTAAAGTCGCAAACAAGCAAGGAGTCGATTCCTTTCTCGTATCTCTAAATCATAAGCTAAACTTAAATCATTATATTGATTCGCAAATCAATATTATTATTAAAAATGTAATCCGTTTTTTTGCATCTGAAAAAAAAGTTATTTAGTTTTCTAAAGGTGTTGCTTTTTAAGCGCACGTAAATTTTAAGCTGAAATATTTTAGTAAAATGTTCAAGAAGTCCCTGTTTTAGGAAATGGATAGTTTTTCTCTTTCTTCTTTAGATATTAACACGAAGTTCGAAAAAATTATTGGCTCGTTCCAAAACTCTAAAACTTTAAACTAAAAAAAAAAACCACGTCGATTACATTTTTGAATATGTTTAGATACCCAAAGAACAATTTCAAAATTCTTAGTACACTGATGAGTCATGCGAAAAAGCTTTGAGGCAAGTTTCCAGATAATGATCGCTGTGCTTGCGTCTCTTTTCTGCAAAGCATAACACGAATCTGACAAACACTGGCCGTACCAGTGACAAAAGACAAATTGAAGGTTTCTTCACCCTCTCTCTGACCTGGATGCTCCCATCTGCTATAATCTGTTTCACCTTACATTGAACCGTCGCGGACATGCGAGCCATCCCAGCCAGTCCTGTGCATTGAGCGTACCACGTGACTTCGCGCCCAGGACGTCGCTGCACCACTCCGGAAGGTCACGTGACACTTACGCGGTGAAGGCTTAACTCCGACCGCTCTTAGCGTCCCCTGCAGTATCGATAAGGTTAAACAAAGTATAGTAGAGCTGCAGCTCCAAGAGCCCACGGCGCTACGTAAGTCTTGGCGTTATTGTCCTGCTGGTGGTGGTGCATGGGGGTTACGGTGATGGTCATGGTGGTGGTTCAGTTAGTTTTTACGGTGGTGGATCCGGTAGAAGTGAAGGTGGTGGTTGTTGCTATAACCTAGATTGTGAAATTATTTTCTTTTTTGTAAAACCTTTGTGTTTTTTTTTTCTTATCAAGCAAACTACACATGAGATCTTAGCGTGGCCTTGTCTTGACATTTCACTTGTCAGTTGGGATGCTGGTGGTGGTTTCTGAATAACATCAAATAAGATTGTGTTAGAGGAAAAGAAACAACACGTTATGGAGAATTGGTTTTGAAGTGCCTCATCACCAACATTTTTTTCCCATTTTTTTTACTACACTGCGTGCCAGTTAGTACGATGTTGACGATTGTCCCATCGCCAACTGCTCTTTGATTAAAAAAAAAACATTTATGCCACATTCCTCTCACTAACCCTACGTGAATCTTAATGATCAACCCTTATTGTCCTCTGTTATAAAACACAATTTCTGTTCGTGCTTTCTACCTACAACAGCAATCACGGCTAAGATGCAACTTTCCTCACAATTTTCAGTAAACGCTCGTGCCACATCGACGCCGGCCTGAACCGCGGATGCGATTACAAGGACATCCTGGACGCTGTCGAAGAGAACAAGTTCTGGAAGTCCAGGGACTCGCCAGGCAGAAGGCGAAGGTACGTTCACGGGTCGCGCGTGCGCATGCTCATCCCTAGAACCGCTGTTTATAGACCAACATAGTGCTGTGACGTCACACCGCTGTGGTGACACTGCTGTTGGTACAGAGCATACTCACACCTCCCGCAAGTCTGGTTTCTGGGCAAGCGCAGTGCCCGTGGACCACACCTGCTGTGGCCAAACGAGGGCTTGTTTTAAACAGCGTTGGCCTAGATACACGACTGACCCCTACCCTAAGGTACTCCATATGTTCAGTTTTCAACCTTAGCCTTTTTTGTCTGGATGGTCACTGTACCAGCGTCGTGTTATCACCATTGTCTGGTGCATGGGGATGTCCCCAAGTAGCAATCGTACTGCCCTGGTCAACATTCTCGTATACAGTGGAGACACATGACGCCATCTTGAAAGGACACTGAACTCCCCAAAAAGAACATTTTTGAGCTCTTGGACCGGACACATGTGTCACAGAATGACCTTTCCTTAAACACCTTTCGCAGGGTGCTCCTTCCTTCCACTTCCTTCGTGGACAGGATGTCGCAAAGCGGCCCTTCCACGTCCGGATTTTTCCTTTACGAGAGTTCTAGTAGATCGGTTTGATAACCCCCATAACAATACCCGATACTCCGCCGACGCCTTTGCGCATGCATCGTATCGCCATCGGGTATCGTCATCGCAGGTATCGGGATGATCTACCAGAGATTTCTATTTTCTTAGTTTTGCCATTCTCCTTCTCAAGGTTCTGCTTACTACGTTGTAGGTACTGAAACCAAGTTCGGACTATGACTGCGTCGATTACGTTTCGTGGAAGTGGCTTAACCGGCGCGACGCATACTGTTGCAGCTTAGACTGATGGCCCTTTAAGCGGGGACTCGGGCTGAGACTAAGTTGCGTTTTTTCCAAAAAGGTGGCCCCACGCACTTTCAAACATTTGACTGGAGCCACATGTTTCTAACTAAAAAGTTTTAATTAACTTCCAACCAATCAAAACTCGTGCTCGTTTTTGTTTTTCTTTGCAGGTCGGTCGACAACACGAAGACCAAGTCGGCACCAAGCAGCGGCCGAGCCACAACAGCAAACATGGCGAGGGTCGGCCAGTCGACAGCGAACTGAGGAGCGGCAATCGCCGACGGCTCGCTCCATGTTCTCCGACATCTCGTTCACCCGGCTTGCCGACGCTCCCAGAGTATCTCCACCCGCGCACGTTTCCCTTGGTTCCTCGTTTCAACGTCTGTCCTGCCACACCTCAGCCATCACCGCAAGATGGCTTCTGTACAAAATGTCCTGCCCTGACCCCCACACAGCGGCCTGAGCCCTCAGTGGATGCACTGTGAGTTTCCCTCTCTCACAAGCAATGCTCGTTTATTGCTGAGCCGCACCCTCTTTTCTAGGCGGGAATGCAGTAAAATCGAGACTTTCTGGATGCAAGCCAGTGAATCAGTGCAAAGCTACGTTCAAAATATAACTTCAATGCAATCTCGCGAATATTATACCGACTCAACTTGTTTGTACTAAGGTACCTTCTCCGCATATGCCTTTGTTTTGTTTTTTACGCTTTGTACAAAGGAACCTTTAGCAAAATGAAAATGGCTTCCGAATGTTGTGAGAACCCAGTTTCCATGAGCATGATTAATTTCATTGGTATGATTTCGATTAGGCATAACTCATACGAAATCTTAACCAGTCGAGCCTCCCACGCTCCAAAAGCGGAAACTTTGCTTTGTCAGGGTGCATTGTTACAGCGCCTAATTAACATATCAAGATTGTGCTTGCACAGTGTGAGAGACAAAACACGCTAAAAGGTAGAGTCAGCGGCAGTGTTAGCTGGTCAAGTTTGCGGCTAACGGAAAGGGATAAAATTCCACTTCCGGTGCCTCGGGCATGCTAGGTTATATGACACCGCCTATAACTTCGCGACAACAGGAAACGTGGCAATTCATTCCAACCTCATTTTTCACCACTTAAAGTAGCAGGGTCCCCGTGCGGCCTTTATGCTACCATGGCCGGATCGCTGCTTCCCTAGATCGTATTTCCACATCATATATGTCACTGCTTTCGGGTGTTTTTCTAGTGATGAACGTACAATCGTGGGCAATATGAGCTGAATCAGCCCTTTGTACTTTCCTGGCGTATACCAGCACTTTAAAAAAAAAAGAAAAAGAGTGTAGCCCTTGCAGCCCTTGTCACATATAAGACATGCCAAGACTTTACTTCGATGTACAACGCACTGACGTTAAACTGACGGCCCCCACTTTTACAGGAGGCTTGATGACAGCGCGATGTAACATATTAAGCAGCTAAAGTACGTGTTAAAGACTACAGAAAACAAACTCAGGGGTTTTGCAGTACGGCCAAGAAAACCCCGAATACTTTGTTTGCCTTCAGTCACACTTACTTTAGCTATTTTAATAAGTTTCATAACTCGGTTATCAAGCCGCTCGTGAAAGTTGGTAGCGTCGGTTAACGGTGTTAACACTACACCCCTTCTTTTTTTCTTTTATGTGCGCCACTTTTAGAGGCGGCTGTTGCCCGAACTAGGAATGGAATGCAAAAAAGACGTTCCATACTTCGAACGTTTTTACAAATTAAGAGAAAAAAGAGCTTGTGAAGACCATAAACGCAGGAAAGGGCCGGATCTGATGATTCGGCTCATAGTGTCCGCCAGTGTACGTTTCACCTAATCAGCGTGCAGATCATTCGTCTGCTCATTTGTCGAGCTGGGTGGCACTCCATATGCTAGAGTATACAGGCATTAAGCACATTTTACTGCCACGGCCCGCTGAGCGGTCCGGTGCGGCTCGCCGCACTTCGAGCCAGTCCCCTTCTGACAGCCTAGTCGCGTATTAATACCAACTCAACTCACTGACGTCACGTCACTGCTATGGCGCATCTCTAGGTTCTGCGCATGCGCAGTCGCTTCACTCCTCCCGACTTTGGTTTTTTCGCACGCGCAATGCCCACACGCTTTTTTGTAAACACTGTGTTGGTGCATACTTCGCTTCAGCTTAAGTTTAAACGCGGATGACGTTTAGAGCTCATGGGAATAATCAAGCAGCGTCAAAATCACAAGTCACCAGGCCTTTTCTGTTTACGAATGGTTCACTGATGACAAAACACGTACAGAAACATGATGAACACAGCGATGGTGCGCTTTGACGCTATTTGATTGAGCCCATCAGCTCCTACCATAGGCTGCCTTTGCACTTAAGGTGAAACGACGTATACTAGTTATCTATAAGTCTTCTCCTCTATTACAACATCCAGATTAAGAAATTTGGAGTTGATAACCCTCTCACTTTGTTGCTGTTCTTGAACATTTGGTCAGTCAGAAGGGTTAGCGGCGAGATAAAATAGCAACCTTGTTTTTTTGTGTTCGCTCTCATCTATACCTCTCACCCTACAATGAACTGCAGCCAAGGCGAGGTGCCACGTAGTTCAATCAGGACTAAGCTGGAAACCACGTGTTGTATCGCTCTGAGATGCATAATATTGCGCGGACTCTCTCTCAGAAGAGCGAATTGTTGTGCACATGTGGAGCAATATACCATGTTTATAATCGGCTCGTGATTTGACCTGACAGTCTGTCGCTTTGGCTGCAATTCATCGTAAGGTGAGAACTATAGAAAGTATTCAATGACTCCATGTCATTGACTTTTCCCAAGAACCCTTGGGAAAAGGCAATTACTAATTTTGGTACTTTTTAGGTAATGTCACGAATAAAAATGGCATCTGAGTGCGGATTTAAAAATGAACGTTCGATATTAGGCGAACTTGCGCCTACAAACTAAAGGGAAAAGTGCCACGCATCTTCCGTCGGCGATGGAAGGGCGTCAATTCATAAGCAGCCCGTTACTGCTGCTTTTCTACACGCGGTTAGTTCAAGAATGTTTCGGACCAGAAGTCACGATGACAGTCGAGAATAAGCTGGAACTTACCAAAAAATTATAGAATACAAGAAAACACACACTGGTTCAGCAGGGAACCCTGTTCCTTCGCGTGGCAGCCGTGTGCGTTGCCATGCGCACACGGCAACGCACACGGCATTAATTCCGTGCCGTGCGCACATGGCATAAGTTCCGAAGCAATGCCTATAGTATATTTCAGTTTATTAATGGTGTATTAGCGGTGTACTTTTAGTGTGTACACCTTAGTTGTCGTAATTATTCACTAAGCAAGCATGTACGCGTTACTAAAAACGTAACCAAATAGAGTCACGCAGTAATCCCCTAACATGTTTCTAATTACGTTACTTGTTGCTGAGCTTCAAAAAGAAAGTTACTTGAGCTCCATAGTTTTACGTTGCATTCCCTTTGTTCTTGATGCGTTGTTTTTTGAAGCATTAGCCGCCTTCTAAAGTTTTCTGTCGTTCATGATTCCTCTCTTTTTAACGCGTTCGTGGACATACTGAATTGCCACAGCAGCAATTTGTTTATTGAAGCAATCACTTGGAGATTAAAGCTGCTGCGGTTGTAAGCATTTGTTATGGCTTTGTTTAGAAACATAAACGTTGAAAAAATGTATGCAGTCACTTCGATGTACTTAGCAGCCGGGTGCTGACAGTGATTTCGAGAAACTTAACCAACGGCCTTCCTTCTCGGAATTCGTGGGCATAGCCAAGACGGAGACGTGAGGGAGTGTACCACTAACAGCAATGTTTGTTATGCCCCATATGTTTTCTTCTTTTTTTTTTTCTACCTTTATTTGCGAGATTTCTTAGAACCTAAACCGAACACTCCAGAAATATGCGGCCCCCCACCACGTGTCAACCCGATACGAAAATTCTATGTACAGCGCGTGAGGAGGTCTACTGTGAAGAGAAGAGGAAGTTCATGGTTGCTTATCATCTTGGAATTTTAGAACGCAAAAGACTGAGGGCGATGGCAGAACATAGTGCGTGTCTACCTTGTTTTGGGTTCCTTTTGTTTTCTTCGTGTTTTTAACTCACACCGATAGAATACAATGAATCCTGCCACTTCGGGGATATACGAGGCGTCGGAGTCGGCTCAAGCGTGTATCGGAACGGACCCAAAGTCCTTCGCGCCGCGCGTTGCAATGGGGGATAACCTCGAGCGAGGTCTCCTGGGATCTTTTAAAAGGTTTATTTTTCAGGCTTAGTTTGGAGTCCGGTGATCGGCGGAAACGCTGCCAGACCAAAACAACTCAGCGGTCGAATTCCGTTTCATCTTGCCTGGGGTCATACCGACTTGTGAGGATAAGCTTTGCCGATGTCCGCACAACAGAATGAAAATTGGGGAGCAACCTGCTCGGGATAGATATTCAAACCCAGGGGACAAAGGGGAGAACCACAAATACAAAGATTTTTTTTGTGTGTTTTCGCCCCCCCCTCCCCCCCCCCCCCCCCACACACACACACACCCCTGTCCGCCCATTCCTGGATTGAACCCCGTTCTACCTTTCACGAGTTCGCCCGCACCCTGTCTTTGACCAGGTTTAAAATATATCAGAGGCACTCGCATCCAAACCTAGAATGCTTTAACTGAAATCAAGCTAGAAGCGAAAGATGCCCAAATGGTGGAAGAGAATGTCTCGTGGGGTTCACCGCACGATCCTCGGTGTGTTGGTTTGCTGAAGGCTTATCTGGGAGAACCCTTCGCAGCTGTCGAGTTCAATCGACCTGTTCAGCGATAAGCGTGGCTATACCGTCATACTTTGTGCACGCCTTTTTTGTTTACATCTTGATTTTTTGTCTTAAAATAAATTTTACAACTTATCGAGACTTGGGAAGTAATCCGTTACTTTTATAAATAATTTTGTAATTCACACGTTACTTTCTTGCGGCAGTAAGTTGTAAAGTTATTTCGCTACAAAATATTGGCGCCACAGATTACCTTAACAACTTGTTTCTTTATATAAACATAATACAGAAATTGGGGCAATATGAGCAGGCAATTGGCAGCATAAATATAGCAAGTCCAACAAAATCATGAAAAGGAGAATAGCCGAAAACACGATTTTTTGTGTGACCGGTCACTAGAACCACTATAAAAGCGTGCAAGGCATTTCACTATATGCGAAAAACAAAGATAAAGAATACAACGCCTACAACCCATGCATTTTTCAGTACTGCATATGCAATTCTACCCCGTCCATGAACAAGCTGACAATGCGTCAAAGCCGCAGGCACGAGATCACAGCTTTGAGACGTAGCGATCACGCTTGACAGGCCCGTTTTAAAAGGGAGCTCTCACAGATCGGTACCTTACCTCCGTATCTCCTAGCGGAAAAGATAGACGCTGCTACTGAGCATGCGCACCGCTACCTTTGTCTGCAGAATTCCAGAGATACTTTCCGGTCGCCGTGAGCTAGCGGGATGGCGGGTGTGGTTGCAGAGTTCGCTGCCTCGTCAGCTGACTGGTGAACGTAGTGCACCTAAATTCTTTCTCCTAAATGCAATATTTTTATTGTTACAAAGACTACCAAAGTTCGGGCGTATGAGAAATGGGAGGTACTGTTGTAAAACATTTTATAAAAAGAAAAAAAATAAATAAATGATATTCATAAGTGTACAGGAAAATTAACCTGAAAGTAATATGTAACGTAACGAGTAAAATAATCCGTTACTTTTCGGCGAAAGTAGTTTTATAACTGTAATTCATTTCATTTGAGGCTCGGTAATTTTTAATTTTAATTCACTGCATTTTTCAAGTAGCGGGCACAAGTATGAACTTATATTTAACGACTTCTCCCCAGAAATAATAAAAAAAGCTTTATCTTGGTCAAAAACTAACGAAAATACATTGCTCGTTCCTTCTCATGACAAGTAACCGTCGATTTCTTACCGAAGAAGCAACTAGATATAAGGATAAGAAACGTCCGCCGCTAAGTCAGCAAGGATACCTATATGATTTCAAAGTATGCATCATTTATTAATCATAAATCGGAGTATAGTAAAAATATACCTTAGATGCATGTTTTGTGTCATAAAAATAGAGAATTTCTGGTTGTTGTGTAGTGCCTTGTCCTCGGGTTACCTTAGCTATAGCTATCTCGGTGCTAGCGAGGCAGAGCTGGCAAACCAAATTCATCCCCAGTCCTTCGGAGACATTTGCCAGACGCACCAGACCAATACCGCCTGCACTCGCATTCACCTTAACAACCGTAGTGAACAAAAAGTCCGGTTCCCCGTGGGACGTAACTAATTTTTCATGTGTTGAATTAAGATCGCTTCGATTAGCTTTACGTTTTTTTTTATCATTACGAACAGGTTTCAAACTCCAAAAGTATCGTTTCTTTCTTCCATAATCAGATCTTGAAAGAACTACTTTGCGCAGCGCATGAACCGTGTGCAAAACTTCATTTGTCGCGCCGACCCCCCCCCCCTCCCCCCCGAACAGACGCACAAACAAAATAACAAACACCATCATTAGTGGATTTAAGCAGCGCAGCAGCCCCGTCTAGCAGAATCTCATAACCAGTGCCACAATATCACGCGGCGACGCTAGACGCGCACACCTGCCGCCTTTGGGTGGAAGACGCTTTATTGGAGAACTATGGTCTGGCAACCTGCCTTAGCCTGACTACCAAGGTGAATAGAAGGATAGGAGACGGCATGACGTCAGCCGCATAGCCTCCACATGCTCCCTTGACGCCTCGCCTCTTTCTCATTTTCCTCTTTAATCTCCTCACTTATCAGCCCGACATGACCACATCACGTGACCGTAGCTAGCCTTCGCCTAGGCTTCGATCTGATAAACCTACCTAGAACCACTAAATAAGCTGCGCTTACAGTATCGGCACTCCGTTCCCCGACATTGTTGTGGGCGCCGCCATTTTGGCTCGTATGCAGAACAGACGCAACGGCCGATCGTCATGATTCAAAAGTGCGACTTCCTCAGCATTAGATTCGGTGTTAGGTAGGTAATTGAATATTAAATGCTTTGCTCTGTCGCGAACGGTTTAAACATTTGTGGAGGGCGGAAAAGCATTTCCTGTGATTTCAGACAAAGCTTCAGATAACTGGCAACCATGATTTTAAGCCACAATATGACCAAGTGTCGTTACTCTGAAGCGTAGCTTATTTAGTGGCACTAAACCTACCGAACGGAGCGCGCGCAAGCCAGCAAATAATCCTCCTACAATCAACCATCCATCTCGCACGTGACATGCCGCGCGCACCAATCGCCAGAGAGATCTGCGGTCACGTTGGGCACAATACCTTTTAAATGTTTTATGACTAGGCTTCACAAATATTGCAACGTGCCCCCTCGTAGTACTTATAACCTCCTTGCTGACTACATATGATCTACGCATACCATCAGCAAGAAGGCGACACCCACAGACCGTTTACCATTCGCAGTGAACAATAAGAAGTGATCATTAATTCGTCACACTTTTGTAAATATTTAGCCGTCAGCGGCGTTATTAGATCAACTCAGTTGTGGAACTCCCTAAAGGGGGGACGGGGAGTTCCTCTCTCCTCCTCACCGTGTGAAACGACGGGAGGCGGACCTCGGGAGGAGAGGGGGCGATGAGGGGGCTTACTGTTGTCTTCTCTTTTTGCTTTTATTTGCTCCCCAGATCAACGGAACGACGCTGTTGTGTCCTGGCTTCGAAACCGTGCCGGAGCCGGGTTCAACGTGCTTCGACCTGCCAACAGCGCCCCCTGGGTACCCCCTACGTGTCGTCTGCCGGTGGTTCCCGCCCCCTGTAACCAAAATACTCCCCAACTCGTTGGTCCGTGCATAATAAAGTGTCTATTTTCCGCTCTTGCCTCTCCATCTGGCTATACCTGGAGTGCCTCACTGTTTGTGTTTCGTACATATACAAAAGTTGACACGATGTCACCGCAGTCAGCGGTGACGTCGTTGTTACGTCACCGCTGACCGCTTTAAGGCTACTTCTGGAGGATATAAGGGTAACAGAGGGGACCAAAAAGGTAAGTTAGTAAAGAGAAGATTGTGGAAGAAAAAGAAATCGAGCGTTGGCACTTGGTCGGAAGGGGCGGGCGCCCAATGTTGATTCTATAAACATAGAAGTAATTTGAAAATATTTTTCCCTTAGGGTTTGTTTCAACTACAGCGTGGACCCAACGACGCGTTGGCACTTTGATGGGATCACATAGATCAGTGTTTCTAACAAGACTGCGAAATAATTGTCTACCGTAACAATATGGCGAATTATTTTAATTAAAAGAATGGGAGAAACGTTTGCCTGAAAAAAAAGCTAACGACTAAAAGCACCGTTTTTCAGTGGAATTAGCCCAACTCTCGTTAACCCATCAAATGACATGATTGACACATGACTAGCCTTCATTCCGGCAAAACAAAATTAATAAGATGGAATACAATTTTATTTTATTTTCCTATCTTTCGTTTCTTTTTCTTTTCTTTTTTTTCTTTTTTGAGAAACGCTACATTCGCTCACATTGCTGCTAGATGATTTCGCAAAAAATCCTTAGGTAAACGTTCTATGGGAAGAAACTGTTTTTTTTTTTTTTTCACTTAATAACCTATGTATAAGGTTTCTTCGGAGGGCCAAAGCGCCATGGTGTTATCGCTGTAGATACAGTTAACGGACAACATAAGAAACGCTTCTTCACAAACCCTAATATCTTAGTAAAATCGACGCAGCGCACAAAGAAACGAAGGCGAAGTAGAAGGGTCCACACAAAAGCGCAGGCTCTCAACTGAAGTTTTAATAGAAAAACAAACACTGAAATAAACAGCAAACAAAACCATCATGGCCAATCCAGCACGTGTCCCGATAACTTCTCCATTAATGCTACAGAACTCTATTCAAATTGTAGTTGAAAATCAGCAATCGTCTTGAGTACGCCCTTTTACTTCGTCTTCATTTTTTATGCGCTTTTTCGATTTTACTAAGTATGAGCCAACTAACGCGCATCGCCACCCTAACAGTATATCTTGTAGCCAGTTGACGATGCTCCGGCAGTTGTAGACGAACTGCATCATTTACATGGCGTCGAGCAGACCTTGTTGTCTGTCGCCTAACTTCCCGAAGGAAAAATCCATCAATGTAACCCTGTTTGGCAGTCAATGTTTTCTAGTGGACCGCTGACTGTGCCTGACTGTACGTCAAACATGTCTGATTGGCCAACAAGTTACTCTGACCGACAGTCAAACTCCAGTCAGACTCCACTCGTCGGCTTTCTGATGGTTTCCTGGTGGCAGTCGGCCGCCGCGAAATTCCATCAAGATCTCTTGGTGGCGATTCTGATTGTACATCGATTGGCTCTGACTGTACGTCAAAAAGCTTTGACGTGCAGACAGACGTACGGTCAAAGGACGTAAAGTTCGTTCGGATACCACTATTTCGTCAAATCTATGAATACGAAAAATAATCTATGCACAAGAAAACGATTTCGGGACGTGAGCCCATAAAACCGCTGATGTTAGAGATATGACACGCAGCCGACCACAACCTTGATCAGAAGCCCGCCGAAACGCCGAAAACGCCACTTCGCTTCGCCCATAGAGGCTTCGCCGAGCTCTCATGAACGATCGCTCTCGACTCGTTTTGTTTGCCCGCTTGCTCCAACCTGTCAAACCTGCCCGGGCTCTACAGTGTTTTATGTTTTAGTAGAATTTCTACTCGACAAGACCCAGCCTGTTGTGAGTTTCGACGATGTAAGGGACTTTAGCGGTGTAGTTGAAGACGACAGGGTGTACCAGGTCTACTGGGCCGGAGGCGCGCGAACAAAAGGATCGTTCTACGGCGCGAAAGTACTCTACATGGCAGGTGAGTAGAACTGAAGTACGGCGAGTGATGTACGAGTGCTTCGCATAACATGCTGAAGTCTTAACTGCATTTGCAACCGAAGCATCTCGTATAAAATGAATGGTGAAATCGAGTTTTCTAACCAGCGGCGTAGCACAGGGGTTAAGGTGTCCTATTTGTTCGCAAGTGGTCGCGGGTTCGATCCGCGGAGGACCTGCTTTTTTTTTTTTTTTTTTCTCGAACATTTTGTTTTATCGAGGCATTTGGCGATATTTATGAGTGCGTATAGCTTTACTCTCATATAAATGCTGCCATTGTTGATGAAAATCCCTTGGCAGTGACAGTCAGACGTCATCTGCTGGACCATCAGGTGACGTCTGATGGTCCATCACGTTCCATCAAGGCTGCTGACTGGCAGTCAGTGTCCCAAATTACGTATCTTGATGAAATTTTCAATAGGGTTTAAGCCCCTACATAAGCTTCGTCTAGAGGCATCGGCATTCTCTATTCTTCGATCGATTGTTTGCGCCACCATTTTGGTGCTTATTGCAAAGCGGCCGAAATTGACGATTGTTACGATTCAAAAACTCGGCTTCCTCAGCTTCAGATACAACGTGCGCCAGGAATCTCAGACACCGGTATTCATTCGTTTTGTAGCAGACAGAGGATGCAAAAGCGTATCCTGCGATTTCAGATAAAACTTCAGATCAGATGTCGACCATGAGCTTGAGCATCAAGATTATGGAGGAGAACACGGGAAGAATAAAACGGCATTGGCTAGTCTATAGCCCCTAGCCAAGCTAGATCCATCCTCGCTGAGATCATCCGGTACAAAGGAGTTAGCCCTAAATCCAAATCTAAAGATTGTCGAAGTGTCGGTATACTCTGAAGCATAGCTCATTTAGTAGCTCGAGCTAGAGCCACTAAATTAGCTGCGCTTAGAGTATCCGCAATCTGTTTCCCGACATTGTTGTGGGCGCCGCCATGTTGGTGCTTGCGCAGAGCAGACGCATCTGTCGATCGTCATGATTCAAAAGTGCGACTTCTTCAGCATTACATTCGCTCTTAGGAAGCTCATGTAATATTGCTTTTCTCTATCGCGAACTGTTTAAGCATTTGCTGAGTACGGAAAAACGTTTCCTGTGATTTTGGATAAACCCTCACATAACTGGCAACCATGATTTTAAGCCACAATATGGTCAAGTGTCGTTACTCTAAAGCGTGCGTAGCTTACTTAATGGCACTACCTTGAGCCAAACTGGGACGATAATGGAAGAGAGCTGCGAACAGTTCCTCCGGGCGCGAACCTATGGTGGCTGGAACGCGCATCCGACTGAAGCGTTTAGTCCAGACTTGTACGTAGTTTAACTACTATGCTCAAGTTACTATGGTTTAACCACTTTTCTAAGTAGCTTAGTGACTTGCACTTAGATTCTTATTTCGGCAATTGGTAGTTAACTTTAATTATTCTTTAGCTGTAAATTTTCATCCCTCTCCTCAGCGACATTAATATTTTCATAGTTTGAAAAAAAAAAAAAAAAACTTTCAGCCCTATATAACATTTCTCCGCAACAGAATAAAATAGAGGCATTTTCTCTACCTCCTCTGTGAGAGAAAATAGCATGTCAACCATTTGACAAACCAGGCAATGGCTCTATCGTATATTAACGGAGCTCAACACGTGGTTCATGAACCTCTGTAATACGAGAAAAAAAATAGCAGTGTGTGGAAAGTCATGCCTAAACTCAAAATCGAACTTTGTTTAGACGTTTCACCTCCCGTGTTTAACAGATCGGCCGCTTGAGGGGAATCCCGAGACTAGCCCGAACTTGATTCGGTGTTAAAAACAAATATAAAGTTTATATAAAAAAAGATTATTGAAGCAATTGTGAACAACAAATGTGGCCGCGCCAAATGTCGACTGCCGCTCTTGAAGCTGCTCCAACTATCCAGTTACCTTAGTTCCAGCTGAAGAAGGCTGTTCCACTCGTAGCATGCGGCTATAAAGTATTCCGAGCATAAGTGTGAATGTTTTATTGGACACTAGTTCTCTCGGCAAACACCTCACGCAATACCACCTTGGTGTGGCCAGCATCCACTGCCGCCAGGGAGGGCATTTTTTTCTCCCACGAAAATAATAATAATAATAGTTTTTATTTCTCATCAATGATGAAGGGGAGGCCGGAGAAAAAAGCTGCAAAGGAACAGCTTGACGAGTCTCCGACCCCCTAAAGAAACAAGGGTAAAAAATAAGCTTTTTCTGGCATTGTTTGCCGGCACTCTACCGTAGACCGCAGATTGCCACCCATTGCAAAGAAACTTTCATTTTTGAAGCTGTTGAAGAATAATCTTGATCGCTGGCGCCCGGAAAGTCACTTCGCGGCTGCCCGAGTCGCTCGTCCACCTGCCCGCCGGTAACGTATACGGGTAGGGAAAAGTAGAGATTTTTCACTGTTGCCAGTAGCGAGTCGCCTCCTGGAAACCTCGCGGCCGGTGCCACTTAAAAATGCAATAACTTCACGGAAAGTTTTTATTCCTATAAAACATTTTGATTATTAGTTGAAAAAGGGTTATTGATGCGATCTGCCAATTTCCAGTCAAATCGAGGAATATTAAAAAAAAAACATATCGGCGGAGTTCCCCTTTAAGTTTCGCCTTTGAGAGCGGAGCGCGATAGCGCTATTGGGCCCCGTTCGCATCGCCTCCTTATTCGCTTCTCATATGCTCTTCCTGCCAGTGAGCAGGAAGTGTGGTCGGACATGGTCACGATTCCACTCCCGGACGCGATAGCGAACGGACGTGTTATGCATCGCTCCTCGCCAGCGGCGGCGGCCGTGATCGGCCGCGGTGATAACGTTGCCTCCGTTTTTAAGGATCATCGTCTGCAGCTGCCGACATTGCCCACCGGTGAAGCGGCGAAAGTCGGCGTGGTCCTTTACGCTGACCTCGAAAGGAGACCCTACCGCCTCGAGGACTTCCGGGACCTGATGCAACAGGTGGGCGTCTTGCCAGACGGGCGGGTTTGGGAGCCTACCAGATGAGCCA